ATATATATTTAATAATAATGAACATTCCACTTTCTTTTACCTGAGCTCCATGATACTTGTCACATTCCCAGATGGGTAGATCCGGCGGATGAAATTGAAATCGCCAACATAGAGACTTCCATCAATGCCCCAGGCCAGAGCCACTGGCGCCAGCAGCTTGTTGCCCTGAGCCTGCCCATTACAGCTGGGGCAGGAAATGCTCCTGCGCCGTCCATTCCCCATCACGGTGGAAATCACCGGGGGCTGGAGGGAGATGAACTGGTTCTCCCCGCTTCCTTTGTACAGGATGCCTGAGAAACAGAACAGGAGGGAAAGCATAATTGGTGTCTGACAGTGATGGGAAAAAAAGACATTGTTTAGCTGGTATTCAACCAATTTTGATATTAAAAAGACCAACAAAAAAGTGAGATTCAGGAAATAGTTAGAAAATACCTTTTTTGTCCAAATTAAAATATGTTTATTTTAAAATTGAAATGTAAAACCATCTTCATGCTTAACATTTTCAAGGTAAAAGCTTGTTTTTATGCTAAAGAATTAAATGAAATAAACTGGCATCTACGTGCCTGCAGGTTACTGTCAAGCTGTTTGTTTTTAGACTGTGTTCAGAGTGACTTCGTTTAAACTCAGAGAATTTCTCACGGAGAGTCAAGCTAAAAGCGAGAGCCACTTAAGAACACATTTTCAGCATCTAAAACAACTCAAACTCAAAAATTTCAATATCGCTTGAATGACCTCTGCGTACTTCTTTACTTTTAATTTAAAGTCTTTTTTAAACTCAAATATTTTTGCTGTCACTAAATGTTGCCCTTACTCCTACACGTAATTATGAGCAAAAAGTCATCCAGTTTATCTAATTTTGCTTTGTGAAACCTGGCTCCTAGAAATAAAAGCTCATAACTCCCAAAACAAGGCTTGCTGTTTTCTTTCTTTCTTTSTTTGTTTCTTTTCTTTGTTCCTTTCTTAGTTTTTTTAATCCCTCACTTTTACTGTTGGTATTCAGTTTTAGGGATCAGATCTGGGAGTCCCAGCCCATAAGTACCAGAACACAGTCAGCTGCCTCTGTACACAACACAACATGAAACTCTGTTAAACAAATAGACACAAACAACAACACCTAACTTGTAAAAAAATAGAAGTTGTAAAGGAATTTTTTTATTATTATTATTTGCTCGGGGAAATTTGTTTTTGAGTTTTAAATTGCGGAAATTTGCTCTTGAACTTATCCAAGCCTGTTAGCTTGGCTTTAGCCTGGTAAAAAAACAGCCCTTGTTCTACACTTWGTTTTGTACAGAGAGAACCTCGGCTATTGAGAGCGTTTCTGTTGAAGTTAAAAACAAATGGATCTGATTTACCCAATTRCTAACGTTTGGCCGTGACGTATGCAGTGCGCCAGCTCGACCGTGAAGGAAGCTAAGCTAAGAAGCTAACTGGGAATTGCGTGCCCTGTAAGCAACCATCCCCTTCTGGGGAGAGAGAAGTTCCAAGCTGAACAARATGGCTGTAAATGAGTGCTGCAGGCTTTGTGAGACAAATTTAATTTAATTTGGAAGCCTTGTCAACACGGCTTAGCTTCATTCACGTCCTCCGCTGCCAACGGCACGGAAAATCAACGTCAGCATTCACAACTCCGCCTCCTGTTTGCTGATTGGCCYGGTTGAAATCTACCAGGCTAGCTCGACTTGGGGCTGGGCAATAATTCAGTGACAAYATATACTGTGGTAGACACATGATCAATATCAATGAAAAAATGTCCAAAAGGATGTTGATAAATTCACTGAACTCAGATCCAGAACCGCACGGCAGTCTGGGGGATGTAGGCAGAGGAAAGGCTTTAGCCGCTCGGCCTCTCGCGGCTAAGCAAGGTTGGTGGTATCAACTAACTCACTAACCTGTTGAATAACATGCGCAGCTGCAGTTTCATATTTTGCCACCGTGCCTCATCATAACTGCTTAAAAATATAATTAAAAAAGAACGACGTGGCGTGAAAGGAGAAAATGAGTGTAACGGCTTGAGAGTAAACTGTGGGCAAAAGAGGAAAAAACAATCCTATAGGTCTTATTTCAACGAGGTAGAAAAAACTAATAATTATCTACGTTGATTCATATGAAACACTATTGTTATACATTTTTAAGCCTTGTTGAAGCCTGACTGATTCCCTCATGAATTTCTCCCTCATTCTCCAAATTATGATTGCTAAAATCACTGACTACTGCAGATAAAGAACTTATAAGAAGTCCAYGTAACTCTACTTTAAAACAAAAGACAAACAAACCCAACAACGACAAACTATCCCTTTAAGGAACGTGCAGACAGTGATGTGTTTTAAATAGAGCAGGGAGCAGAGGCAGCACACAGGCAACACCCTGGCCATCAATTCAACTGATAGATTCCCGTATTGTGGAGTTATGTCACTGCCTCAGTGGATTTCTGGGAACCCTCTATAAAGCTGAAGTATATTTTATGTCAAATGATGTTCTTTTAACTTGACAGGGAGCCTGTTTTCCTCCAGTCACAAAGAGGCAGTAAACATAAATACAGTATGTAGATGTGGACAATTCCTAAATCACCGTCCATAAGATTCACCGCAGGACTTAGCRAGCGTAGTGAGTCATAACAGAATAATGTTTTTAACAAAGGACAAATATAACTGGCGTTTTTGTGAGGGGTGGGGCACGTGTGCATGGAGAGAATTTCTTCAAAGGAAAGAAGTGCATGCTCAGAGCACTTAATTATTCACATCCAGCAACTTGTGTGAATTCACTCGGCCCCTGTCCTAATTAGTGGATCCGTGACGCCGCTGAACGGCCACATCACGCCGCTCGCCCACAGAGCCGCACGGTAAGCCATGGTAACCCTCAATATAAGCGAAATCAAGTGTGCAGCTTGTCCCCTTTCTGATTAGTTCCTTTCATTGATTTTAGCTGATTGAAGGACGAATTCAAATGAAGACACAGACTGCCGAGACTCGTGGTGATCCGACCGATCCGTCTTTTTTTTTTTCTGTTTTGTTTCCGACAGCATTATACACGAGCCTCTAAGCAAGACAAATAGGTTCAGGACGAGGCTTTCCGTGTGACGCGTGGAAAACGTGTGACCTTGGGACTTTAATTGAACTGTGATCTATCCGCTGGCACGCTGAAAGAAACACCGGGTGGCGACGAAAAACACTCAGTGAGCTGAAAGGTTGATACTGCGCCCAGAGAGAGAGAGTGCGAGAGAGAGAGAGAGCAAAAAAAAAAGTTATACATCAAAGGTGACTAATAAGCTGCATAATTTGATCTGAATTTTAATGTCTATCTGTGTAATGACTTCCCAACATTCACTGGAAAGATAAGGATGTTTCTTATATGCATGATGCAATATGCAGTGTGGAGGACATGGATCGGTTTTAGCACTACAGCCATGTCGCCATTTGGCAGACATTCAGCTTWAAAAAAAAGAATGCTGAAGTCATTCAAGCAATCCAATATGGTCGTGCCATTTACACTTCCATCACGGTTTACTGTACACACAAGTCTTCCCAAAGGCTATTAGACAGTGTAATGGAATAGATTAAATACAGCTATCAATCAGCCACCCCCCACCATCACTCCCACACTTACTATTGACACTATACTCTTTCACTTTGATTCTCTCWCACACACAATGTCTTCCGCCAGCTTAGAGTGAGCAGATTAAGGTTCAGCTTTCTTCCCTCAAGGACACTTGGCCGTGACACATTACTGCTCATGATTGTTGCAAGGATCAAGCTTGTGATGTCTCAGCTGGAGAGCTCAAACTGATGGGAATTCAGCTTCTGACTGTCCAGCGCTCCGGGCTGTGGAAGGGGTGGGGGGGGGGGGTGGGGGGGTTCTACATTGTCGCCGTTAAAAATGGCTTCGAAAGTCCACAAACATGTATTCATAAATATTTTGCACGTCTCACTCTGGATGGAAACTCGCAAACTATGATATGATTTCCCAACAGAATGCTACAGGAAAACAATTTATTCTCAAAGTTCTGTTTTTCTGCACAGACTGCAACAGACTCCCACGGCAATTATTTTAGTTTTTTTTCAGAGGAGAAGTCAAAGTATAAGCATGGCAGCTGAGTGGATCAGTCGTTGGGGACGTGTCTGTTCATCGATTAGAAAAAAAAATGAACGCGTGGGGGCGGGTTCTGAAATCTCGGCAGAAGTTAGTGAAAGGCAACGATCACTGCTGTCTCGGCGTAGAAAGAAGAGACCGAACCTGTTGCATCCGTTGCATCCTGCGTAAGCTGCATGTCACGCGGCATTTAGTTTATTTTTATTTTTTAATTTTTGAACACTCAGGCGGAGCTAAACAAGAAGTGACTCGAAATCTCGCAAATAAACGCAGAGAAATGCTGAAAACAATCCAGGATATACATATTCGTACAAAATGAGCTGAAATGAGAGGCAGAGAACGGCTGAAAGGCCATTTACCTATAACAGAAATAATGTRGCAAATAGAAAACCAGGAGAGGAGTCATTACACATAATATTGAGTAAGGGGGCAAAATGTCATMTTCACAAACTGTGTCTGCTGCCCGTATGAAGAAATCATAATTCCACTCTGTGCTGCCCCAAACAGAAGTGATTCATTCCTTGAAGGCGTTACAGGAGGTAATAATTTGTTTGATAAAAGGCTAATTTAAATCATGTGGTGTGAAATAAAAATAATAAAGAAAAAAAAMCCTTTAATGTTGACATCACAGCTTCTGAGATGATTAATGGTGCCGATGGAAGGCTGAGCCTCCATATGTGATAAAAAACTCRAGCGCCCTGAGCAATGTCACCTTGGTGACACATGGTGAGTGCAGAGAGTGGTAGGGGACAAATGAGAGTGTGTCTTAATTGCACCCTGTCCTTCTTTGTTCTCCTTTGCGTTTGTCTTTTTTTTTTGTTGAAACCATCACCCAGGGTCCCACTGATCCTGATTGAAGCTAAAAGCAGACCAAAGACCTCTCGATACCTAAAAAATGTTGCATTTGTTTGGGCCGTGCCGTAATTCACCTTAGAGATACCGCCTTGCTGAACTTTGGCTGTGTCCAATAAGTACCAGCTATGTTACCCGAGATAGAGACAAGCTGCAGATTGAGGGGAAGGGCACATCCACTTGTAACGAAGAATTGAGGGGCAGGAGGACACGACTACAGAACAGACACCAGCAATTTGCCTTATCTGGTTTGACAGCCTCTGGAGTGGAGGCAGAGCGAGGGGGAAGGGCTTTCGCTCGGGTCTTATGCCACGAACGATGAGAGGAAAAAGTCCTCAGATGTTCCAAGTGG